CTCCATGTGACAATACAGTAATTTGATATAAAATTTAAGATTTTGATTGGATAGTTTCTCTGCTTTTTTTCCTTATTGCAACATATTTATAGTCAGAAATTGCAAATATTCTTTCACCATTTTTTGTGTAAATATTGCCAATATTGATTGTTTTTTCATTCTCTAAAGATTGCTTTTGACCAATAATAGGCCAAAGACTAATATTGCCGTTTTCGTCTAATGAAGCAACATATTTTAAGTTAGGCGAGCAGACAATTTCCGAAATTTTTTTATTTGCCTCGATTGGAATTTTTACATGAGAACTATCTGACATTTCTAATTAACTTTGATTAATTTTTGATGGAAATAATGAAAATTTCAAATTATATCTATGATGATAAGCAGGATAAATCCCAATAAAAAATTTTAATCGATTTTGAAATTTTTGGAAATTTATACTAAGCCATAATCTGCTAGTTAACTCACTACAATCTTTTTTCATCGGCGATCTTCAAATTATTTTATTTAACCCACTACAATCTTTTTTCATCGGCGATCTTCAAATTATTTCCGTATGTGGCTGTGTTTTGCTTTGTGTACATTTGTTGATTGGTTAGCCATTTGCTCGTGATCCGCCACCTTTCCTTTTTGTTAACTAAAACCGATATCATCCTAAAAAAATTTGGTTCTTTGCATAGCCATGCATGCGTAAATCTATTTATGCTGACTGCTTGGCTCTAATTTGCGCTGATCAGATCTGCACTGCGCTGCCACCAAAATTTTTTATCGAAAATCATTGCAGTTCTTTGGAAGCATCTGACCGCTAGAGCCAGGCATTGAACTTTATTAATCGAATTTTTTATTGACAATATGCAGCAGCAGCGTACATCGGTACGAATGATGCATAAAAGCCGAGACTGGCTATGCTCCCGGAAATAGCAATCACGATTTGCGCCGGGTATAACCGTCATCAGCATAAATCGTAATGCGTATCATCAGCCGGTGGTCTCCCACACTGCATAAAGCAGGCCGACTGGACATGAAGTTTAAAGGAACGACAAAATGGCAGGATTCCCCTGAGCGGGTGGGTCCGGGTGCGAACTTGCTTTTGCAATCGCGAATTGTCTGATCATGTACAGGCTCTATTCCCATATATAATAAGGTTCCCATTAGTAACTATTAATAATTCCAAACAGAGCAGTTGATTAAATGACCCTTATCTGCACATGTGTTATCTCATGCGATTTGGATTAGTCCTGTCTCGTCCTGATGACCACTGAACCGGTCTCTGACCGGTTGTCCGATTTTAGCAGGCATGTCACCGCTTTTCGTTTCAGTTTTTAAGGGGTAGAGTATATGTCGATCATTTTTACTAATAAACTATTGGCGAAATTTAGCTGGCATTATGAGATTAAAAAAATTTTTTTATATCGATTTAATATTTAGCGAAGTAAAAACATGGCGCATATTAGTAGTAATCATGTTATAAATTTTGAACCAATTTGGATAAGGGCAAGATCCACGAGAGTCTATAATAGGCCATAACAGGCTCTCGCAGATTTGTATAGACTCTCACAGATCTTGCCCTTATCTAACTTTTTAATGACAAATTCAAATTGAGCAATAATTTATCTATATACTAATAACTGCGTAATTTATAAATTTTATTAATAGTTTATTAATAAAATGATCGGCATATACTCTACCCTTAAGATAAAAAATATCGAATATTTGATAAGAAAAAAAACAAAAGAGCGTTATTACTTTAAAAAGTATGTTAAAACAAACCCGACAAAGTATAATTTTATTTGTGTGGATTTGCTAGTTCAAGAGTTATTGCGGCTTGAATTTTATAATATATTTTACTATCAATGTCATTGATCTATAAAAAAAAATGTATTATGAGAATTTACTATGTCTGTAAATTGACCAATATGATACACCCCAATCGAACACCCCAACGTCACCAAATTGGTTAACGCTAAGTCGAATATGCATCCGATCCACCAAATATAGAAAATGCACGACAATAAAACATGTGCGACATATAATACATGAATGACATTATTACGTATTGTGTTAATTGATATTTTTCCTTTCAATTTTTTTTTACAGAGGTCACCTATCTTTCTCATGGCATCAAAGATATTTATGGGCGATATGCCCGAATTAATGGAAATAATTCTTAATAATTTAAAAGAAGAAATTTATTCCTTACATTCATGCGCACTTGTGAGTCGACATTGGTGTAAAATGTCAATTCCTTTGCTTTGGCGAAATCCGTTTTCATTTTACAAAAATCCAATGTTTATAACTAGTTACATTTCATCTCTTGAAAACCTTGGGAACGATGAAAAATCTATTTTAGAAGAATGCGGGATAATTATTAATTTTCCAAATACTATGTTTCCTTATGCAAGATTTTTGGAAGCTCTCGATTTATCTCTTCTAAATGATAGAGTTGAAAAATGGATCAATATTCAGCTCCACTATGAGCAACAAAATATCGTACAATTAAAGTACCATATAGCTAATTTATTGCTTAAAATATTTATCAAAGATGGTGCTATCTTGTCAAAGTTAGATTTAAATAGTCTCAACAATTTCATCGAAATTAAACCAGAGATTTTTTATTTATTAGAGCAAAATATCAATTTTTTCTCAAAGATTCGTGTTCTATCTGTCTCAGTAATGCCTTCATGCGATTTGGAACTTAATCTTGATTTTGAATTAAAATACGAATTTTATTGCAGACATCTGATGGAATTACTAAAAATTTTGGCAAAAAGTGTTGCAAAAATTATTGACATGAGAATTAAACTATATGAATTATATTGGTCTGGTTATTTGCCACAATTAGGCAACGAATTAATATGCATTATTAAGTCACAAGAGGATCTTAAATATTTTGACTTTTTATACGATAGAGATGAACCATCTAGAGCATTCTGCGGCATAATTACGGCACTAAAAAGTCAAAAAGAGGCATTAAAAGAAATTACAATACAAGATTGCGCTTATAGTACAGAGTTTAAAGCACTAAGAGATTGTGAAAATTTAGAAGCTGTTCGTATTTCAAATTGCAACAATGAAATATTTAATACATTCAACTCTAAAATTAGAATTTTAGAAATAAGTTCTTATGAATTGGTTGACACATCGGGTATAATACAAATTTTAGAAAAATCCGGTTCATTACTACAACGATTCAAACTTGACTTACTATATAGTTACTTAGTACAGGTTGATTCTCAATCGTTATTATTGAAAACACTTATGACATCCTGTCCAAATATTACTTATCTCTGTATTTTAGGTGTTAAAGATTCTACTCACTTTTTGAAGCTTCTTAACAGTTTACAAAAACTTCAATTTCTTACCATAAGTTGGGATGCAGAAGTGAGGAAAAAAGATAAAACGGAAGTACGTTTTAAACAACTTGCAGAAGTATTACCACCGACATTACAATATCTTGATTTAAGTAAAGAGAATTTGGGCTTGCACATTAGCATTTTACTTGATAATTGTAATGCACCTTTAAAAAGACTATCATTTTTTATGCCTTCCTTTGGTGAGGAGGAAACAATCGATGCAATAATTAGATTTTGTATACGAAAGCAAACCCTAAATATCGTAAATATAGCCGGATTGTGTTGGGGCAACATTAAAAAAGAATTAGAAGGACATGTTGAATTGGTACCATATAACTCTTTTATTGACAATTGTTCATAATCTAAGTTTAATATTTTTATCTAAGTTTAATATTTTATTGAGATTTTTGAAATAAATATTTTTTTCTAAATTTTCGTTCATAAAATTTATTGATAATTTTATTGCTGAACTTTAATGTGTTTGTACACTTATCGTAATAATGAAGTGATACAGGATATTTAAAGTGTTAATACTATACTTTATAAAATGGATGCATATATCTAATGCTA